AGGGTTTATAGATAGCAGTCAAGGAGCATCAAAGTATTTGTAGAGGCCCTAAGTATGTGAAGAAAAGCACAGCAGTAAAAGCCAGTGGTTTTAGGAATTGTATGCATAGAGAGTAAAATAGTATTGTTGCTAGAAATCTTTTGTCGTTGCTAGAAGAATTTGCAAGAGTTTTCTTCCTGTAGGAACCAAAGTAGTAACAGGACTCTTGTATCATATAGATTAATGTAAATGGGTTTACATTTCCTGTCTCTAGTTAACCTTACTTAGTTTACTTGTGGGCAGTGCCTTGCATTTCCGCTGAGATGGGTAGTAAGTACCAATCGTTACATGATCAGAATACCCATTTTTTGATTAATGAAGACTTATGTCTTGAGGTGCATGAGGTTTTCTAGATTTTATATAAAAAAAAAATAGTGGAGCTATTGTATATGATGTATGTATCTTCTTGCTTCTTAGATTATCCCCATTTTTAGTTTGTATCAATATGTGATGTTAAAATATGTTCCAGGGGATTGAGAGATTTCACACACATCAAGACATAAAATCCCAGGGTTACCTGTATACAAACCTGACTTTGTCCCCAGTTTGCCAGTATGTATGATTGTAAATGAGATATAATAGAGTCTTTCCAGTACTGTAGATACTGGTTTAGTACTGATTGTTTTACACATAGTTTCAGTAGACTTAACTGTGAATAACTTGTTTGCGTCTTTCTCCTTCTGTCAATAGGTCTCAATTACAAAAAGCTAACAGATGAAAATGAAAACCCTCTGGAAATACTGGAGCCTGTCCTTACAAGTCAAAATATCCTATCTATTTCCAAACTGGCTCCCAAAATTCCTAAAAAAGATGGAAGCATGCTGTCACCAAGCTCTATTTATGCTGTCTGGTTACAGAAACTTTTTTGGAATGGCGATCACCATCTCATTAAAAAAATACCAGAAACTATGAATGAGTGGCTACATGCGTACGATATGTGTTCAAAGTACTTTGATAGACTTGATCCTGATGATATTGTCGCTTTTATTGATGAAATTACATTTTCTTCAAAAGCTGTCACAAAGGTAAGCAGATATATGTGAAGAATTTCAAGCCTCAGGTGAGGCTCTCATCTTTTTATGACTTCCAGTATAAACCCCAGATTTTTATAGTTAGAGTAATTAGCTCTGTGGATCAGAGTTTTTGATGTGACCCAAAGTCCCTGTATTCTGGTTCAGC